ATCTGTGCCTGGAGCTTCATTTCCCTACAAACCACCTCACGTAGCAAAGCTGTGGTTTTCATCCCGCGTGTCAGTGTGCACACACATGCCATGACCACATGCAGATTCCAAGTCCCTCACCTGGAGAAGCACTGGTCAGAGTTCTAGTGAACATTCCTCCCCCCATATGCATTTAACATTTTCTTGTAAATATATTGCATTTCTAGCAGAGAACTGATGTGTCCTTGGTTTATCTCTTGGGATATTTGACACCAGTCTCTACTGGCCACATTACCCTCAATCATTTGCTTTGGATGTGCAGTACCTGCTGGACTTTTTCCAGAGATAGTACTTTTTTTCCTGTCAAGACTTAGAAACACTGGAGGATACTTAGGGATGATAGAAATATCAGATTAGAGGAGATATGGCAACTAAATGAAGTATGGGGTTCTGAATTAGATCCTGTAACAAACAAACAAACCATGTCAGTGGAATACTAGAACTTGTGAAAGGTCTATAACCTAGGTAACCTTGCTGGTAGAAACATTTCTGGCTTTCTGTGGACAGTTCCTTGTATAAGATATCAACACCAGGAGAGGAAATGAAAGGGAAGAGAAAGCTCACCTACAGTTTCACTGAGATTCTTAATCGCAGACTGAATCTGCAGGTGGGCCAAAGAGTGCTCATCAGCGTGTGGGTTGCTGCAGACTCTGCTCAGACTCTGGCAGATGCAGCCTATTCCATTAAGCACAACTTGCAAGTGTGCCAGCCCAATGCATCGCCTTCCTATCCCTGTACTATGGGTACAGCAAACACTGCACTGCGCACTTCTGGGTCAGTGAACCATGGTTTGCTGAGCTGCTTACATTGACAGGGGGGGCGGGGGGCGGAGTGGCTACCCTGAGTGCTCGCTACAGAACAAGACAAAAGAAGCCTAAGCTCAGCGTCTGACCAGTCTCCTGCATCTTGGTGCCCTGCCAATATAGCAGAGCCAAAAGAACCATCCACTCAACTGGAGGCAGTCACAGAGACCATGCTCTGGCACACAGCCATCATTAAGGCCAAAGGAAGGAAGGAGAGAAATGGTCTGAGACAACCAGCTTTGGAATTCTTGTGCATAATCTCTATTTACCCCACTGGAATATTTTAACATAAAGAGTACAATAAACCCACAAGAAAACAGCACAGAAAAAAAGACTTCAATTTCTGACAGAGGGTCTAATCTAGGTAAGAAACAGTGGGCCTGGAGCACACAGAAGTGGGGCTCTCGGCCTCACCAGTCTCCAAAGTCACCTCAGAGACAAGTAGAACATCTTTCCAGCAAAGGGAAACCCTTGAAGACAGACAAAACAGCCTAGATAAAAGGTGTCTGCAGCAAGTCCTCCAGGTCTTAAGGCAACAAGCTCGTCAAGTCACTATAGGGGAAAACCATTTTTAAAACCCTCTCCACAGGTCTATGGACCTTGGCCAGTTTCCTCCTGCCTTAGGGCTTAAAGCTTAGGAAATAATTACCAATATTGGAAGACCTGCTGTGCAAAGGAAGAAGCTGATATTTACCACCAACCACCCACCCCAAAGAGTGACACTAAACAAGAAACCAGAGAAGAGAACTGAAGAGAGCCCTGGTATAGTCTACTCAGCCTGAGGGAAACTGCACTCAGGAAACAAACTACAGGACAAAGGACAAATACACTCAGAAACTACAATTCTGATTGACTGATTGTGGGTCTTTTTCTTTTTTTAAAAGATTTTTTGAGACAGGATTTCTCTGTATAGTTCTGGCTGTCCTGGAACTCACTCTGTAGACCAGGCTGTCCTTGAACTCAGAGATTCGCCTGCCTCTGCCTCCAGAGTGCTGGGATTAAAGGCGTGCGCCACCACCGCCCAGCCAGAGGATGACGTGGGAGCATGGCATGGATTTTTTTTTCTCCTGCACCACTGCACCAAGCAAAATAGAACGATTAAGGCTTAAAGTTATTAATTGAAGCTCTCTCCTGGAACGAGAAAAGGAATTAGAAAGAAAGATGAAAAGATTCAAGTCGTCTACCCAAAATGTGTGTCACACATGACAGGAATTCCTAGAAGAATAAAACCGTGGGAATAAATTATTAAATTCTCTAATGACTCAAGAGAATTTCCCAGGCTCATGGACACACCTACTGAGCACACCTGTGAACTGTAAAGGTGTACAAATGCCAAGACGACCTTAAAATTGTCCAGGGAGGAAAGAGTTACCAGAAAGGAAGAACTTGGCAGAGTCCCTACGGACTGAAGAAAGCCAGGACTGAAACACTGTGTCCTGAGCTAACCAGGCGTGCAGGGAAGACATCGGGACCTACCTGAACGGGCCCTAAAACTCACTGACCCAGATTAGAAAAGGACAAAGCGGAGGTGGAGGAAAGCCGAAGATTTAACACTATCTTCGAAAGGTTACAATGTCACCGGGAGCAGAAACACAAAGGCCACTACGAACAACAGGAAAAAGGCACGGCTGTGCGGGACAGGGACGTGACGCTAGGTGGGGAAGAGAGCTCCGGTATCAGCCCCGATGTAAACAGAGTGCAGAGCAGAGGCGGATGCGCCAACGAGGGCCAAGCCACCCTCCCGGGGCAGAAAGCCAAGAGCTACCGGGAGATGCGGCCGCTGGAGGCGGCAGGGCGGTGCGCAGGGCCCGGGAACACTGCGCGCGGCTCTGCACGGACCGACT